CAGCGCGTCTCGACGCAGCGAGGCGATTGGTTCATCAGGAACGACGCATCGATATCACTAGCCAATCATCAGCAGTTGCAACCCCCTTTAGATCGACCCCAGGCGGAGCTTCCTATGCACCCCGGCCGAAAGTTTTGCAACACAAAACGGCACGCACAGAAAAGAAATGATCGTAACGGCGTTAAGATTGATTAATCGGATGTATTAACATACGCGTTATCGGTATGCTGAGATTCCGTTATGTTATTTAAGGAATCGTTCTCTTAAAGGGCAAGTATTTGAGTAAATTGATTAGTTGCGACTAGTTTCTCAATTGATTTTTTAATATGTAAAAGGATAAATTCTCTTATACAGAGTTGCGATATTTTTATTAAATATTAATAAATTTTGTTGTTTATTTTAAAAGCTCAAAATATATGTTTATAATTTTTTAAAGTTTATAGGAAATTATGTGAAAAGATGATATTTTTTTTAATTTAACTGTATTAAAACTAACATCCGGAAAGTTTATGATTTTAATTTTAATTTCTTTAGCTAATGTAGATTTAACTTTATCCTTAAATTTTTGAATTACAACGATTGAAGATAAAGATTTTCTTACTAACTAAATATTACAATTACATATAATAAAATTGGAGTTTTTGCGACATATTCCTTATCTCTTTAATTAATTGTGCTATCTAAAGTTGTAAATAAAACTTACAAATTTAAAATAGCAATGAAATTTCTTTGTTAAAGTTGATATCATAATTGATTGATATAAATAACGAAACTCTCAAAATTTTGTCAGTATAAGCAGATATTAAGATACGTTTCACTATATCTAAGATTTCAGTTACTTTTAATCAAATTTTTTATGATAATATGTTAACGATTAAGAAATAAATATATCGAAAATTCTTCCCTCAGATTCGGTAGCCAACTTGCATTGTTACAAACAGAGCAATCGAGGGTAGAGACCCTTTCCGGTGCGGTGGCTGCCAGGAAATATCGATCTGCCCAGAGGAATGGATGCTGCTGTTCTCAATGGTTGGGGTATACTTTATCTTCTCTTCGAAGTCGGACGCTCTAAATAACTTGGATTTCACTATCATTCTGACATACCAACAAACGTCTGTGAGAACACTTAATCCATAAAATGGAATAGATTTGTCGGCAAGTTTATCGTTCGTGGTGATTTTACCAAGTGAAAACTTTCTAAATTTTTTCACGTGATGAAAACGTTAATTTTAACGTTCTCAATTTATTTTAATTCTTTTTAAACTGTACAAAATAATCAACAATGCAAAATTTTTATTTAAAATATTGAGCAATATATCTCTCGCCATTTATATCATTGCCATGTTTAAGATACAAGTCATGTAAAACGAATTTGTCATATAGTGACATAAGACAGTTTTTTGTATTTTGTAATTGTTATACAATACTTTTGTTTTAGGGTATACATTAATATATTTAATACATTTAGTATCTCGAGTGCTATTATAATTTTTAATTTATATAAAAATAAATTTATGAAAAACAACATTAAACAAAGAAAATTCCTTTAGGATAAGAAAATAACTTTAAGGATGTTATTATTATGATTAAAGAGGTATCAACATTAAAAGCGTTATTATGTGACATATTAACGCTATTATTTTATAGCGTTTCGCGATATTAATTTAAAACAACATCATAATATGTACATCAAACTTTCACAAATCGCTACCAGAAATTGATACCGTGCTAATTTCATAAGTATCGTCCGGTTGTAACGTCCTTATCAACGAATGTTTGATGCTTTTGCATAATTCTACATATCGCAACAATCTCAACTTGAAATCTAAATCGAGGTCGTCTATGTAATCATTGCAGGCATCAGTTAAAATCGCGAAGGCATGTCTCTTGCGTAGATTAGCGTTAGATCGTAAACTATCATTGGAATGATCGGATATATCTTTCTCAAATATTTGTTTATTCTTTCTTGAACATGAACATGCAATTTTCTTTACTTTGTTTAGTTCCGATATATCGTAAAGTTGTTTATGTGTATTTCTAGTATTTTTCCTCCAAGAATGTGATAACGATGTTTTAAAAGATTCATTGCTATTGACGTTAAAATATTTAATTGGTATATCTCGATATTTGTTTCTGGTCCTGCATTGTTCATACTCGCATCGCATTTGGTCTTTTTCACGATGATCTTGGTTATGCATTTGCTTAGGAATTCGCTTATTATCATATGTCTTTTCTTGCTGTTTATATGTGGTATGTCCAAAATATTTCGAATCACTCTCCGTAAGAAACGCTTTGGTCGATTGCAAAGAAATTGTTATACTTGTTTCCGAATTTTTCGAGTCGTATCGATGAGAGTTTCTGATGTAATTCATAATGTTGCCAATTTCTTTCTTTTTGTCATATCGTATTCGATTATTTCTATTTAATTTTTGCTTTTCTATGTCTTCAGTTGTAGAAGTTAACAAATCGTGAGACCACTGCAGAGAAGGTTTACTCGAACGAAAACTTAATAAGGCCTTATTGTCATCATTTTTCAATCTGTGATCACAAAACTTTATGTTTTCTTCACATCTTTTTTTTTCCTTTGTCTTATTGATTGATAAAATCACATTTGAAGATTTACAAGAAGATGTGGTATAGTTTCGCTTGCAGCAATCATAAGTTGAGCATGAAGTTATGCTGTGATCCTACAAAAAATAGATAATAAATTGAAGAAAAGCTCATTTTAGAAATTATAGTTGTAGATTTTTAATTTCCACCAAGCCAGAAACAATTAAAAAATATTAAATTCAAACATTAATATAAGAAGAATCAAATTTTAATTTTATATATATATAAATAAAATATTTCTATTTAGAAGTATTTCTGTCTTACACATTTGTCACTTGTCTCTTTCTTTCTGGTATCTTCAGAAGATTCTTTAGTTTTCCAAAAAGTTTTAGTTATTTTATTATTATATCTTATTTTATTGTTAAACAATATTCTTTTCAGCTTTTCACGAATCAAACGTCTTATTCTATCGATAGATTTGTCGATGGAATTACGAAACTTTGTTATCGCGAGTACCACTTGTGGTCGTATTTCCCTGGAATAATTATTTGGGTATCTACGAGATGCTGTTCTGTGTTTGATTGTTGTCGAAGTTATGTTATGAATACCGTTCACTGATGTCATGCACCTGCGTCCGCAAAACATTGATTTTTGAAATTTATCTCGCCTATCGCTCATCGCAAATTCACTTGTCGTTACGAACGAACGACAATATAGCGATGCATTGGATATCGAGTGATTTTTTGAACGTAGATATTCTCCTGTCGAGATATCGGAACTTCTTGAATCTCCATTGGATCGGAATCTTCCTTTCGACACGGAAAATCTTTCTGGTGATATAACAAAATTTTGCGTTCCATCTTTTACATCTAACATTTCCTTATTTATATCAGGAAAAAATTGATTTCTTTTTTTAGAAACAATTAAAGTATGCGTAGAAAGATTTGCTATTTTATTGCATCCATCGCTTGTTTCCTTGATAGGTATATTTTTATCATTTTCAGATGTCAACCAAATTGATTGTGGATAAAATGTATCTACATTGATTTCTTTCGATAATATCTTTGATCTAGGCATTTGAATCGACATTGTTAGCGAATCGACATTGTTGCTTCTGGACGATACCTGCACTATCTTAGAATAATCCGTACTTCGAGCTGTTATTGCATCAATATTATTTTGAGATGTTTCAAAAGCACAAATATTTTTTCTTAAAATATCATCGGTGACTGTCATATCTATAAAATCATTGCATCGACAAGAACAACATGAGTTACATCCAATTTCTACTTTTGCCGAATTTAATAAGCTATCATTTTCTTCTGTATCGAAGTGTTTATCGATTCTATTAATATTGTTCGAGAAACGATTATAATTTAATTCTACTAATTGTTTATCATACTCTGAATTTTGTACGAATGATGTAATACTACATCTAGTAGTATTTGTACAAATTTCATTTTCCAATTCGATTTTTGAATTCGATTTTTTGTTCAACAAACAATCGTGTTCGCTGATGCCTGTGGTTTGCGAAAAATTGTCCAAATCTTTGTTTGTCTTTATTTTATTAAAAGTATCTTCAATTTCACTGTTTGTTTCGATAAAATTTTCGTATGATATACATGTACAATTTGCATTATTATATTCAGAATTTTGTACTAATAATGTATTACCGCATTCATTATAATTGTTACAAATTTCGTTTTCTAAATTTGGTTTTTTATTCGACAAACAATCGCATTCGTTAGTGCCTGTGGTCTGTGAGAAACTGTCCAAATCTTTGTTACTAAAAATGTCTTCAATTTCATTGTTTGTTTCTATAAAGTTTTCGTATAATGAACATGTGCAGTTTGCATTATTTACTAATTGCGTGAATATATCATTTCTTATAATTAAATTATTCGATTCGAGAACCTCTTTTCTACACTTTTTTACATCATCGTCATAATTGATATCCATTGAATTTAAAATTGTGCAGTATTCTCGATTTCTTTCAACAGAATTATCAACGCATGACGTCATATTATATATTTCTTCAACATTATCTTTGCAAGGATCATTACAAGAGAAATTTACAAAATTTTGAACATATCTCGAACTATTTTCATTATTATTTTCTGTTTTATTTTGCGCTGTATCTATCGCTGTGTTTTTTATAAAGCTTTGATCTGCTTCATCTGATTGTGAATAGCACGTGTCGAGCTTTTCAGCTTTTTCGTGTGTATCGACATGTGCACCATTGAAATTCGTACAATTATCTGTACATTGTGTAAAACATTTTAATTTGTTAAGTTCAGTACTTGACTTTGAAGACAAAATAGAGAAATCTTCTTGAGCCATACATTTATGAACACTCTGGCAAATCGGTACTCTTGCAACGAAAAGATATTTTTTTATATTGGGGGCTTTTAATTTGAAACTGATATATTCAAAATATATTTCGCAATTAAGACATAGCGTTTTTGTCAACTTGATATTTAATTTTTCTATAACACTATTGAGACACGAGCAAACATTATACATGCTATCTTCGAACTTTCGCTTCATCACTATCAAGCAAGATTCGGTTAAAGATGGATTAGCTTCAAAAATTCGTCTAATTAAATTGCTCGGTTTACAAGGTAAAGGTAAGCGAGTGATATTAACGCTCGAGAACGTCGAATATTCATGATCTTCTATTTGTACTTTATGAATAATTATTTTCAATTTCAAATTATTCCGTATCTTCTTTGATTCGGTATTGCACGATTTCTCATTAAAAGATTTATTTATTTTATCAGTACTATAATCAACATTTTGCCTAATTGATCCAGTTGCAACGCAAGTAGAATAATAATTGGAATTATCTTCTTTATGTTGCAGAAAATTTTGATATTTTGACGTCGTTGATTGTATGTGTTCCGTACTTCTATCATAAATCTTTTTTGCTAATGGTTTGACAGTTTTTTTACACTTGATTGATCGTTTTGTATTGTAAGGTACTGTATTTAAATTCATGTTACAATCCATTGAAACAGTAGTATTGGAATTCCTAGTAAATAAAATTTAGTATAATTTTAAGTGGTAATCGATAAGTAAATCTTCAATAAACATTAATAAAGGAATGATATTTTATTAAAGTTAAGATATGTTAATTTGATAAATTTTATTCAACCATCGATACTTGAAATATTCCATTTTTAGTGAAAAAATATTTTTTTTTTATATACATATACATAATAACATACATGAAGCAATTGCGATCTAAATAGCCTTGCTCGTTGACAAAATTCCACATATTCAAGTTTTTTAAAATATTGTCTTCGATGTCCAATGTATCTAACTCCCGGCAAACTTTTTTCAATCTATGATGCAAAATGACAGAATCCAGAAAACAGGTGATCAAATCATCCTTTATCGTGCATTTGACAGTATTTTTCATAATTTCTTCTATCGTGCTGATATCATATTCAACGACTCTGTTCAGAAAATCCTTCCACATAATTATCATATCAACGAATTTCTTGAAACATGGAAACTGCTTAGCCCATCGAGAATTTGAGTTATACACGAACGCCTCCAACAAGGACTGGAATCTATATTCCAGACTAGGCACAAAAAGTGCTCGAATTTTGTCGAAATAGGGATCATATTTCTTTAAATTGAATACTATATCTTGGCTCGCACAATCACATGGTTTTGTCTAAAATATAGACTGGGCGTTATGAAGAGAAGTCAACTATATTTTTTAAATGATATAAATCGTATTACTTGTGTAATGTAGCAAAAAAATTATTCTTTTACAATTTTACGTACAAATAAAATTGCACTTTATATTTTGCATTTAGTGAATATTAAATTAAATAATTTAGGAAATAAAGAAATGTATAATATATGTTTTTTATTACCGGTAATACCTGCTCATTCCTAGACGTGTACAATTGATTCTTTTTCATGATAAAATTAATTAGTAAAAAAGAGAAAAAGAAAGAAACAGAGAAAAATACAATTTATATATATTAAAAAAAAATATAACAATTTTATGTGCGTATCAAACAATCTATCATTCTTTGAATAAACATTCCAAATATTTAACAACGTATACAACCTAGAAATGCACAGACAATGTTACTTTTCTTCTTGAAGATGGATACAATTAAAGATTAAATCAATTAACTGTATTTCCTATATTCACGGCTTTACATTCATAAAAATATGACTAATATTCTTTCTTGTATAATAAGCAAGGTATTTCGTACTTATTAATACCATATAATGATGCCGGCTTGTAGATACGCTTATTATAGATGCGCAATTATACTAAAACTACTGACAACGCAATATTATACGAGAACAATTTATTATGTACTGCTTTCATTTAAACTACTTAACTTTATTATCTCCATTGCCATTGCGACGCCAAAATGTAGGACTCGCTAGATATGTTAATGCATTATATTAAAAATGACATATAATACCTTTAGACAGATGCGTAAAGAGTAAGAAAAAATTATGTAAAAATGCATCAAGTTAATTTATTGATTAATTGAAATATTACAGATAAACTGTAACTCTCTAAAATAATTAGAAAATCTCTATTCCCTATATATATATATATATATATATATATATATATATACAAGAAGTTACAAAATCTCTTTTCCTTTTTATAATAATTACAAAATTAATTTTATATCCTGTCGCGCGAACACGTTTTTTTGACAAGAAGAAAAATATTATCTTTTCAGATGAGCAAAATCGTATTCTTCATCAAAATGAGCCTGTACTCTTTAGTACCACTTTTTTTACGTAAAATAAAAAGAGAGTTATTTGTACTTTCATACGCAAGCTGAAACCAATATCTGTAATATGTACGACAAATATAAGTACAGTGTCTGCGTTATACGTGATATCATTGCAAAGTAACACGCGAGGATATCGTGCCGTGACGAGAGCAGCGAAATACAAAAAGCTTTCGGCTAAGAGGGAAATCGAGATCACGAGGAGATGGTGAACGCGTGTGACGAAGAGAGAATTGTACGAAAATCTGCGGAATAGTACGAGACAGCCATAACCCATTCACGTAGTGGCTCTCTACGAGATCAATACTTGTGACGCCGTGCCGAGACACTGAGCGTAACAGCTCCACGCTGACTACGCACGCAGCACACCGCCTCTACCGCCGACAGAGAAATCCCTCAGATATATCCCGGAACATTCATCCCTTCCGTTCGGCAGAATTGATGATACCAAATTTTATTATAACAGCACTTAATTATTAATACAATATTTAAATATTAATATAATATTTACGTATCTATCTTTTTACTTATTTCATTTATTTATTTATATAAAAATAGTATTTTTATCTATACGGCTCTTAATGCAACTGACAATTTCGCATTCATTCATTCAATTTATGTAATTATAAACAATCAATCGTTTAAAAATATTTTTTTATATCAGTTTAATTAAATATATACGACTCCGTTAACGACGTAATAAATATCCGTAAAATTGTAATTTCTCTAAGTAAGCTCTCTTCTTAAAGCAGCAATTATGATTCATCTCATACATCTTTTTCAGCCATCACTCTGATTATATTATTAATTTTTGCGTTGATTTTAAAAATTAGTGTGAATATAATAGTAACAAATTCATGTGATGCTGCTATAATTCTCACTCAAGATATGTAAAATTAATATCAATTTACTATCGCGATTATTTCGAGCAACATTTTTATCCCATGGTAAATAATATTGGATATGTAATATCGGAATTAATATATCCGGAAATCTAAACACATCGTGCAATATCTCTGTATCGAAAGAATATCAAAAAGCATAACGGATATAGGAATCTCCATCATTGATTGATCGTAACTATAAAATATCGTGCCAACGATAAACGTGTTTGATCGTTTGATATAATTCTACTTCCAATTACATTATCAATTTCGTAATGCATAGAACAGCGTTATATCATACATAAAAAGAAATAGATTCAACTTGTCTGACGATGGATGTCAGGGCATTCTCTGGTTTATGTCGAATGCTGTTTAATGTGGAAGTAATCCAGTTTACGCGCGAAGGAATCTTTGGCATCGAAAGCCGACTATAGACACGAGGACTTTTATTCGAACGGGGAATTATAAGACAAGCCGGATGGATGCTGCGCTGGAAAATCACTACGAGCTTCAAGAATGTTCTGATACTCCTTCCCTTGGGAACATATCGAATAAATTGTTGCGATATATTTGCTCACTGCTTCTAAATAATATTGTATTACATATAAACTAACATAAATTTGAAAAGGATTTTACTTTTAATTATATAAATATATAATAGAGAGGATGAGAAAAATACTTTTTACGTATACATATAGCAGGTAAAAAATTATTTGAACTTTCTATTTTTTAAATAATTTTATATAAAGAAGAAATTTTCAATCAATATAAATAGATAAAGTAATTGACTTTCTGTATATCTTCTCACGTTTCAAAAGATATCATTTTATAACTAATTACATATTATATAAAGAATAGTAATATTATTAAAATATCTAAAACAGTATTACAAAAAACAATTTTAAACTGTTATGAATCATTAATGTGATAAATCGTAATCAATCTTAGCGTGGTGAGATGAAGACGAAACGAGAATTTGATTCTGTAAATTGAGTTGCTGAAACGCAATGCACGACAACAACTAATGGACGGTTTATATACGATCATAACAAGGGGGAAGAATCTTTTGATCTTTCATCCCTACGCTACTACACTTTCTATTTTAACCCTCCTGTAACGGGTACGCTTAATGAAAGTACCGGCTTGACAAACAACCACCACTATGCTACTTCATCAAACTTTTACCAAATTTGGATTTTTTATTTCCGTCGATTTTATGCGCGGATTACTTTTACGTCACAAAACGATAAATTGTAGGAAAAAGAATTATAATAATTCTAAAATATAGAAAGTCTATAAATAATTTTTTGTAAACTTTATTATTTATATTTCAAATTTTATTATTTTCTTTTAAATACATTTTAATACAACAATATACATTAAGAAAATATTTTTTACTTTGCGTAATAATATTGTAATGATTAATATGTGTGTATATGTGAAAACGTGCAATGTAGGCAGGAAATAAAATTATTCACGTCTTGGAGAGCGTCATAGCAAAAAGAAATTACATTTTTATGATGTTAACTCTCGAGCTTCGTGTTCGCGAAACAAATCGACCTCGTACTTTAGATACTTTATAGCCTCTCGACAGGACTTTGAGATATACGAGCTGGCTTTAATATCGTTATCCAAACGACGTGTCCTGCACACAAATCACATTTGTAGGCAACCGTTGCTTATGAATGCAATTTAGATAAGCAAATAATCGATATACAGTTATCTAAAGTAATTGGATAATTCAGTGTTAAGAAAAATTACGAAGATCATTGTATAAGTTGTGAGATTAAATGCGTTTTTAAAGTGCGTGCAAATTCAAACAATACTATAATATCGAATAATATCTGTTAATAAGAGAAAATAATAAAAGAATATACAGTCAATGCAATTAGCACATTAATTGAATGACCTTTATACCTCTTAAATTTATATTTTTAAAATTTAATTTAATTATTAAACGATGTCAATTTAAATATTTTGGAATAATTACAGATCTTAAAGAGATTGTATATGTAATTGTTAAGTGTATATGGAATTGTTGCTTAATTGATTAATAAAGATATTTAATTTAATATGAAACAATGAAACTATTATTTTCATTTTTTCTAACTTATTTTTTTAAGTAAAATTTAATACGCGTTTCGGTATAGTTCAAAACATCGAAAGTCTTATAGTCATTAGTCTACATTTATCTATTTTTACCGAAAAGATTCCACCATTCTCAACTATTAGTCGCATATTGGTCACGGCATGGCAGCTCCGTCGAATGACCTTTAATAGTGGCTCGATTTTACGAATGTGGGTTGAACGACGAGGATGGTGGGCGAACGGGCACGTTGTCGGAACAGGATCATAAAGGGTGAAATAATGGAAAAAGGCAAATCAATACTCTGGTACTCGCTAAGACCGCGAACGGCGCTCGTTGCGACAACGACGGCGATCGCGGCCGTCGATGACGACGACGAGGAAAGGAAAAGCGTGTGTGCAGCGAAAAACTGCAGGTGTGTGATACCTCTTCTCGAGGATATTCGGTCTACGTCGTCGATTTTCTCCGTAACGTACCATTTGTCGCTGATTATGGTGAGTTACACGTTACACTCGCGGAAAATTGAAATTCCACTGATTTTAAAACATAATTAAACGATTCGCAAATATACTCTGAGAAAATCTAAATTATGAAAATTTTTATGAGAATTCGTTTAATTAAAAAAAAGCTATGTTGTTTTAATTATTGTTATAATATATTGATGTATTTTTTTTTATAATAACTCTTTCTTTATACAAGATGTTAATAAATTTTTTAGAGGATTATCAAATTTTTTATGATTTGTATCTCAAATAGACAAATTCGTCAATAATAGATGTTGCTAAGTATTTGTTTTTTGTCAAAAAATTATCAGCAGAGTGTCGACAGAAATCTGCTAGCAAAATAAGATAGAATCTATTAGCAGAAATTGAATAAAATGTCATTTTGTAATTATCTAAACATAGAACATATTATTTAAATAATAATTACGAAATGGTAATAAATTCTGCTTGGTTTCTAAAGCCAATTTGCAATAAAATTATGTCGACAGATTCTGTTGGCAGAATACGAGCTTATGGACGTAGCTGATGTCAATCTGCCGCACAATTTCGCTTGTATCTTGTATTTACTATATAGGCAAACTGCTAACAAATTGCTAATATTTTGCTTACTAGAATATTGTAGTGAAAAAATAAATGACAAATTGTAAAAAAAACCTTTTGTGTTATTCTGCAGATGCACGCATTGATTATCATGCTCTACTGCATTCTGCTCCTTTTGATTGCTGTTGCTGCACGGTCGAATATTTACTTGCCTTTAATGAAGGTAATTATGAAAATCAACAGCTTTACAAGTGTAAAAAGTAGATGAATTAAAATGAATCGAGAGG